ACTAACAACATATCATTTCACAAATACAAATCTGTGCTTGATGTAGTGAAAATAAAATGGTATAAATACAAGGAAATAAAAAAGAAACCAATGAAATTCCTGACAAAGGTGTTAGGTAACAAGGAAATAAGAAAAAATGCCACATGCAAACTTGCTAGACTGAGACAGTATAAAGGGTGGTCACAGGTGTGTGCTGCACTGCTCTCTCATCTCAGTTTGAACAACACTGTTACAACTCCTGCTCAAGACATGACTAGATACATCATCGAAGTGGAAGCGGATCCCTCATCTGACAAAATCTGGGTCATTTTGTCAACTGGAAACATCAAATCTCAAGAGACAGCGATTGCAAAAGAAGGTGATACTGTAAGTATTTAGCCAATATAAATGTTTGGTGTGCAGGCTGTTTGAATAGTTGAGGGCAGTACCTGAGAGTTTAAGAGGGAGTGAAACTAGATGATCTGGCCTCATGCAGGATATTTTCTTTATTAGCTCTTAAACAATCCTTAATCATATTTTTTTTTCCTGCTATGTCAGGTATACCTGATCTTCAAATTTGAATTTGCAAACCTCATTCAAACCTTTTATTGCCCTTTGCTGAAGTAAGAAGTATATAATAGTTAGAAGGACATGCAGTCTGTTATGTGGTAATGCAGTATTCTACTTTGGTGGTACGGACAGGGGTGCAGTGATTATCATTGATGCCTTGCAGTGCTGTCGCACTTGGTTCAATTCTCGGGGTGCTATCTGTTTGGGGTTTGTATGCTTTCTCCATTTTTGGATTTTTGCCAGTTGTTATGGTTTTCTGCCACAGTCCAAAGACTTTTTTATTAAGAAAATAAACTTTATTTCACAATGTATACACTTCCAACAGAGAGTTACCACTCTAACATAAAATCTCTACAATTAAAAGATCTTAAAGTGATTGTCCATTGTCAATCGATCCGTTTAGCAAGTAGTCATTAAGGTAAGGATTCCCAAACAAAGTCTCTCCAAGCCTCTCAGGTTTTCAGCATGGGCGCAAAGGGACAGGTTTTACTGTTTTCTTGTGCTGGATAAGAGTGTTGTTTGTGTTCCACAGTCCTTGTTTTGTAAGGAACACCAGCAATCATAACAGGTTCTGTGTCCCTCTGTGCACTCCGGTCA